CGCCAGCGCGCCTTTGTTATCACGCGAGTCTGGCTCCTTCGATCCGGCTGGCAAGTCGAACCTAAATACGACACCAGTCCCCTCGCTTGCTTTTCGTACCTCTTCCCGCCCTTCGCTTGCTTGCCTGGTCCACTCGAGCTCCCAAGCACAGTCATTCATTTGGCCAAGTCCCATCGGTACGGCTCAGTAAGCCGATACGCTGTCAGCACAGCCAACGTCAAGTTGACTGGCACTGGCTACGTTGCGCTCACGGCACCGCCCACCTGGACTCGACTGATCGGCCCTCAACGACGCCATCGGACTCGTTCGCATTCATCTCTTCTCTCAACATTCGTATCGCTGCCCTCGGTCGTCGCAATCACTCCTGCGGTGCAACCAGGCCAGAGTACAACGTACTTGGACGGTTCCCGCTCCAGTCGTCACAGCCTTTGTCCTAAAAGAAGCAGCCTTCAATGTACTCGAGCAAAGAGCGATGGAAAGCCTTCCCCCATCACAACACTAATTGCTCTTCACCACCACTCGCCTGCCCTCCGCGGCGGCCGACAATCGAAAAGCCGCCCAGCAAGCCGCCGCTGCACTCAACATGTCATCAGGCGCCGCGGGTGACCACACCCCAGATCGCGGGCCAGTCGTCTTCGCCGTGACCCTGTCGACGCTCGTCTTGGCCAGCGTCTTCGTCGCAGCCCGCATCTTTTGCCGTTATGTCATTGTCAAGAACGTCAGCTGGGATGACAAGATTATGCTCCTCGCGCTCGTCTTGACCTTTGGCTTGTCTTTCACTATATGTTTCGGCACAACCAAAGGACTCGGCCGATACGACGATGATATCAGCATGGACGATGAGGGCGCCTTGCGCCGATGCGAATATGTCTTTTCCATCTTGTATAACCCTGCCTTGATGGCCACAAAAACCAGCATCCTCATATTCTACCTGCGGCTGTCGAAGAACACCCAAAAGGTCCTGCGCCTTGCGTCTTGGGTCACACTCGGCATCGTCAACGTCGCCGGCACGGTCCTGACCCTCATCAACATCTTTCAATGCCGGCCCGTTCAAGCGGCATGGCAGACTTGGACCGAGCCCGCGCAATGTATACCTCTGCTGACCGAATTCATCTGCTCAGCCCCCATCAACATAATTACGAATTTAGCCATCGTAGCTCTCCCTATTCCTGTCCTTACCAGTATGCGCTTGCCGCCCCGGCAGAAGTACATCTTGGTTTTCACATTCTCCCTCGGCATCTTCGTCACCGTCATCGACGTCGTCCGCATTTACTATCTCCAACAGGCTGTATCGGCCATACCCAGCAGTCCCACCACCGATCTCGCCGCCAAGTTTGGCGGCACACCCAACTTCGCTTGGAACTCTTCGCTGTCGTTCATGTGGAGCGCCGTCGAGGTCAATGTCGGAATGACGTGCGCCTGTATCCCCACTCTGAAGCCCCTCATCATCAAGATTCTTCCCGCCATGATCATCGATCCCAACGGCACGCGGCACAGCGACAGCAATAAGGAGGACTCCCTCAACAGCCCCGTCCGGGATCGCCACGGCAGCGATGGTGTTGTCCCTCCGGAAGCATCCCCTCACGCCAACCCGCCCGGAGATCCGAGTGCCGAGAGCTCAGGCGCTGCTGGCATGACCGCTCTGGATTTCCTGACAGTACCGACGGGCATGAACGCGACGGGCGACGACACTGACGGCGATGACCCGCTGCAAAGAGTCCGCACCGCCCGGACTGTGTCCACCATGGGTACACAACAAGAGAATATGCTGTACTTTGGGTTCGTGAACATGAAGAGGCCGAAGAGCATGATCAAGTGCAACTCGACCGATTCTTTCCGCTACTGCCTCATGGTCACCGTACTTTTCCTCCTTTGGGGCATCTCGTACGGACTGCTCAACACGCTCAACAACGTCGTCTCGGCCGTCTCGGGTATGTCCGTCGCCGAAACGCTCGGTCTCACCAGCGCCTACTTTGGAGGCGGTTACTTCTTTGGTCCCTTGATCGTGGGCGAGTGGATTCTGCGACGAGATGAACACCACAGGGTGCACAGGAAGAAGAACAACAGCTCCGCTGAGAGTGTGGGCGGATTCAAGGCCACTTTCATGGTCGGTCTCTGCTTTTACGGCGTTGGGACCATCATCTTTTGGCCGTCGGCCGTCATGAAGTCTTGGGGCGGCTTCCTGCTCAGCAACTTTGTTGTGGGGTTCGGCCTGTCCATCCTGGAGACGGGTGCCAATGCGTTCTTGATCCTGTGCGGACCGGCGCAATACGGCGAGACACGGCTCTGTCTCGCGCAGGGTATCCAGGCTGTCGGCAGTGTCCTCAGCGGACTGCTGGCGCAGAAGGTCTTCTTCACGGACATCGACCAAGACGGCTACACCAGCTCGCTGACGCTGCTCAACGTGCAGTGGACATATCTAGCCATTACGCTCCTCTGCGTCGCGCTTGCACTCTTCTTCTACTACATGCCGCTCCCTGAGGTGGGCGACGCCGAGCTGCAGGAAGCCGCCGATCGCCTGCCGGTGAACACGCAACGACGAACGAGCTTCTTCGGCTGGCAGTTGCGCACCGTGTCGCTCGTCCTCGCCGTCATGGCGCAGTACACGTACATTGCGTGCCAAGAGTCCAACTCGATCTTCTTCCGGTCTCTCCTCATCTCGCTGCTGCCGAAGCAAGAAGAATCGGGAGCCGGTGCGGCCAATGCCGACACGAACCCAGGCGAGGACTCGAACCGGCCGCCGGGACTCGATCTCGGCATCCCGGACTACGGGCTCGTCGCGCACACGGCGTTTGCCGTTTCGCGCTTCCTCGCAGCGTGGCTGACCTACATGGCGGTCAAGCACGCTCGCTTTCCCAAGCCTCGAACACTGCTCGGTATCTCGGTCGCGGGCTCATTCGTCATGGCTCTGCTGACGGTGGTGCTCCGACCCCGAAACCCGAACCACCTCATGATCCCGGTGATCCTGTTCTACTTCTTCGAGGGCCCTTGCTGGCCGCTGATCTTCGCCATTGGGCTGCGAGGCCAGGGCCGACGCACGAAGCGGGCAGCTGCCTTTATCACGATGGGTGGATCGGGCGCTGCCTTCTTCCCGTTCGTGCTGTGGGCGATTGTGGAGCACGGCGGGCGGGTGCAGCTGGCGTTTGTGGTGATTGTGGCACTCTGCGTGTTGACGTTTGCGTACCCGCTGTTCCTCGAGTGCGTGCGCGACGCGAGGATTATGACGGATCCGAGGAACACGGTGGTGCTGAGCGGCGGCAGCCGCGTGGCATCGCGGACGGGACACCGACGGGACGGCAGCGGCTTTTTCAACGAGCACGGTGCAGCGGCGGATGCGCACGACGCGGACGAGGAGCACGCGGATGCGCACGGACACGGCGGACGAGGGCTCGGCATCAAGGAGAAGGGCGTCCGCTTCGCAGACATGCTGGGGGTGCACCTGGGCGGCAAGAAGCGCGAGGGCAGCCAGAACTCAGGCGCGCCGCACGTGGAGCAATACGAGGGCGAGGGCGAGGGCGGAATCCAGCCTGGTCATCAGCAGCAAGATGAGCAGCCGCAGCCGCCTCGGTCGCAGACAGCAGCATCTCTTGTATGAGGAGGAGGAGGAGGAGGAGGAGGAGGAGGGGGCATGGAAGGGAGGCATTGATTGATCATGAGGCATGGGACAGCGAGCGATTTGATTTTGAGCCTCATTCTTCAAGGGACGCTTGGCTTGGACCTTGGAGACAGCAGGGAGGGGGAACAGGAGTCGATTTACTGTTGCATTATATACCCGGAGCGGATGTTGCTCACAGTGGCAGCCCGGCAGCAGGCTGTCTGTAATGTAGTGTCTCGATAGGAATTAGACGCTACGCTCACCACTGGTTGCTGTACGTACCTTACCTAAGGTAGGGGGGACATGTGCTGTGAAGGTGGGGTGGAGTTTGACATGTGGCTGTGTTGAAAGGGATGGATCGTATCGTGGCTGGTTGAATGCCTGTGGCCATTTTGGGGCAAATTGGATGAAGGTGCTCAGATGGGTGCTGTGGGGAGGGAAAAAAGGAATGAGGCACAGTGCCAGTGCCGGGCAGTGCCAGTGGCAGTCTGGGCCAACAACGATGCATGTGGTGAGGAAATGGAAGTGAAGGCAGGCACCTTTTTGGGAACCTCCTGACTTGTCAGCGACTTACCCATGTTCTGTTGTTCACTTGGACATCACCATTGGCCTCTCTCTCCCTCCCCCTCTCTCCTCTCCGCCCCTCCCCTTCTCCTCCTCTCCTCTCCCGACATTGCTCTCTCCTCGCGCACCGTCGAGACGCTTCGGCTCCTGTCGCCTCGACGTCAATTGGACCCCCCCCGCGAGCCCTCCCTCCTACCGAGCCATCCGACCTATACTATACTTCCTCCCTCTTGTCTTGTCTGCACGACATCTGTCGAGATAGACAGACAGACAGACAGACAGTCATTGCCTTCGAAGACCGACCACGACGACGAAAATACTCCCTCATGATCGCTCGCCGAGTTTGCGACTAGACCCTGCGCCTGCGCCTGAGCCTGAGCCTGAGCCCGAGTCGGAGCTGAGCCGACTCGACTCGACTCGACTCGACCTCTTCTACACTCTCTCTCTCTCTCTCACACACACACAGACACCATTCGCATGACGATGCGCATACCGTTACCCAACAGCATCGCGTCATGTCGGCCGACGCGCCGCATGGTGCGGGCCATCGTCACATGGATCCTGCTGACGGGTGTGTCCGTCTTCATCCTCATCAGCGGCTACCTCTTCCACGACGACATCCACTCCAAGAGCACCCGCTACCTCAACGGCGGCGCCGCCGACTACTTCAAGGTTCCCTACAACTACAGCGCCGCCGCCGACTACCACGTCATCGACTGGCTGATCCACGAGGCCCGCGCCAACCACGAGCGCCTGCTTCACAAGCGCGCCCTCACCCTCGCCGTCGCCGCCAAGCGCTACCGCGAACGCCGCGGCAGGCATCCCCCGCCGGGCTTCGACCGCTGGTTCCAGCACGCCCTCCAGGACGACTCGATCATTATTGAGGACTTCTATGACCGCGTCTACCACGACCTGACGCCCTTCTGGGCCGTCGATGCCAACCTCCTCGCCGAGCAGGCGAGCTACCGCTACGATGTCATCAGGATACGCGGCGGCGTCATGGTCGCCGTCGAGACCGAGGACAACGACCCCGTCGCCACGCCGCTGTGGGCCGAGCTCATCGGCGAGGTCGCCGCCTACCTGCCCGACATGGACATACCCCTCAACGAGATGAACGAGCCCCGCGTCCTGGTGCCCTTTGAGAAGATGGCCGAGTACGTCGCCAAGGAGCGCGCCACCCGCGCTCTCGTGGGCAAGGACCTCGTCTCCGCCGACTACGTCGGTCTCGCCGCCGTCGATTCGGCCCGCGACGAGAGCCCGATCCTGGCCGTCAAATGGCTTGGCGAGGCCGATGCCCGCTACTGGGACCTCGTCCGCGCCGCCTGCGAGCCCGGCACCCCCTCGCGCGACGTGCCCGCCCTGACCAACCTGACCGCGTCGTCGCCCCCGCCCACGCTGCCGTACGAATGGATCGCGCCCTTCACGCAGCAGGGCTACGTCGAGAACTTTACGCGCGCCGCCGACCTCTGCCTCCAGCCTCACCTGCGCGCCTTGCACAGTGACTTTGTCGAGCCCTTTGACGTCAAGACGACGCGCGATCTCATCCCCATCTTCACCGGCGGCAAGCTCGGCGTCAACAACGACATTTTGCTGCCGAGCACTGCCTACCTCGAGGGCGAAAACACGAACCGCATCGCCCACCTGCTGGGCCCGCTGTGGAAGGACAAGAAGGACCAGCTCGTCTTCCGCGGCATCGCCTCGGGCGGCCGCACCGACGACAGTCCCTGGCGCCACTTTCACCGCCATCGCCTCGTCGAGATGCTCAACGGCACCGCCGTGCACCGCATGGAGCTCGACGCCGCTGCCCACGGCAACACGTTTGACTTTCCGCCGCCCGCGTACTACGGCACGGAGCGCCGCCGCCTGCAAAAGGTCGGCGCCTGGCTGTCCAAGTTCGCCTCGGCTGGCTTCACCATGTTCGCCTGCGGCGACGAGGCCACGCTGCAGGAGGCGCCGTGCCCTGCCCTGGCCCCCCACGTCCGCAGCACGCCCGCGCCCCGCAAGGGCAAGGCTGCCGACTTTGTGGCCAAGTACATACCGCTCGTCGACCGCGAGCGCGGTGAGGGCGGCGTCGCCGGCCGCTTCCGCCACACGCTGCTGAGCACGAGTGTGCCCCTCAAGGCGACCGTCTACGCCGAATGGCACGATGACCGCCTCGTGCCGTGGCTGCACTTTGTGCCGCTCGACAACACGTTCCGCGACCTGTACAACGTGCTCGACTACTTCACCGACGGCGACGCCGAGCGCGACGACCGTGACGCCGGCGTCTGGGGCCGTGTCGGCATTGGTCGCATCAAGCGCGGCGACAAGGCCGCGCGTTGGATCGCCGAGTCGGGCCGCGCCTGGGCGTCGCGCGTTCTGCGGTGGGAAGACATGCGCCTCTATGTGTGGCGGCTGCTGCTCGAGTGGGCGCGCGTCTGTGACGAGAACCGGGAGAAACTGGGTTTCGTCGGTGACCTGCTGTAAAGGAGCCTGCGCCGGTCTGATGAGTCTCGAGGGGGCCTTGATGAGCCCCGTTGAGACGTAATGGTTTTGATGAACTCTGGCGCATCGCCTTCCGGAGCTGTACATTTTTTTTATCATTTTTTTTTATTTTCGGGCCCGCTCTTCGCTGTTGCCTCTTCCTTTTCTCTTTTTGGATCTGCATACCTGTGCCAAGGGGGAGTCTGGGGAAAGAAAAACACACGCAAGTCATACCCATGTATCATGAAGGATCTTTACGGGGCGGGCCAGTTGGTGTAAGGGTGAGGAGGGGGAGGAGGGCGGTTTTTTTTTCAGGCTTTGTAATTGTGTGTTTGTTGAGATACCTACTGACTGCATTGCTGGGAGGATGAGAAGAAGAAGAAGAAGAAGAAGAAGAAGAAGGAGACGAGGAAGAAGAAGAGGGTGGGATGACGATGAATATCAAGGCGAGGAAGTGAAGAAGAAAAGGGGAGGGGGGCGATGAATAATACGCGTTTGGTGACGTCGATGCTGAAGATTCCTCTGCCACAAGGTGATCTATCTCCGTTGTATGATGACCCAATGTTGTGAGAATGGTCGGTCACACTTGTTCACCTGAAAGACACTTGACGTGGAGGTGCTGTTCAGACAGATTCATATGTTCGTATGTACTCGAAAAGCTATATCCACAGGAAAAGCAACACGCCATTCTTGAATCCCCCCTTAGTCTAGACGCGTCGAGCGATGACGCCGCCAGCTCAGCAGGTTGTCAGCCCGCTCACGGTGCACGACGAGCCGTCGGGCCCCTCGCCAATCTTGGCGGGCTCGCCGCCGTCATTGTTGCCCTCGAACAGCTCGCAGCTCTTGCCCTCGGACTGGCACGAGTCGACGACGGAGCACGTGTCGCCGAGGTTGGTGTTGATGCCGCAGAGGGCGCCGCCGCTGACGGCCTTGACGCCGCCAATGACGATGTTGCGGGCGCCGCCGTTGCCCTTGCAGTTGCCGCAGCTGCGGACGAGCTTGCCGTAGTTCTCGGCGTAAAAGTCGGTCACCTCGACGGTGCCGAAGCCGTTGAACTGGATGATCTTGTCGCTGGCGTCAAAGGCGCCGCCGCCGATGATGCGCGATGTGCCGGCCGACTGCTTGAGCGTGATGGCGTCCTCGCACACGGCCTGGAACCAGACGTTCTCGAGCGTGCAGGTGCCCAGGCAGTGCACGCCCTCGCCCTGGTTCGGCCCGATGATGACGTTGGACAGGGTCGCGCCGTCGTCGAGGATGAAGATGGCGTCCGCGTCGCCGCCCTCCGCCTGGCCCGCGCACACGACCGTGTCGCGGTCGTACAGCTTCATGCCGCCGTCGAGCGCGCCTGACACCTTGATCGGTGCGCTCGCCAGTTCCGTGCCCGCCGGCGCCGGAATGTTGCCGTTGGCCGTGCCCGACCCACCGGGGTTGACCGGCAGTGCTGATGTCGCCGACGGCGGGGCGCCCGAGAGGCTGGGTGTGCCGGGGCTCAGGGACGCGGAGGCCGAAGGGGAGTCCGCGTCGGTGGGCGTGGCCGTGTCGTCGCCGGATCCGCTGCCGGAATCGTTGCCCGAGTCATTGCCCGAGTCGGGGTTCGAAGACGCAGCGGGGGCGGCCGAAGTGACGACCGTCTGCAGGGTCGAAGCTGGCGTATCATCGTTGCCGCTGTCGTTTCCCGTGTCGTTTCCCGTGTCGTTGCCAGAGCCGCTTCCAGAGTCGTTTCCAGAGTCGTTGCCGCTGTCGCTACCGGCATCACCACCGGCATCATTGCCGGTATCACCACCCGCTTCCTCGCCGCCGGCATCATTCCCGGCATCACCGCCAGTCTCCTCGTCCCCAGAACCGCTGCCCGAACCCTGTTCAGAATCCTGCCCAGCGTCCTCTTCCTTCTTCTTGTCCTTCTCCTCCTCGGCGTCACCCCCCTGCTCCTGCTCCTGCTCCTCTTCCTGCCGCACAGCAATGGCACGCACGCAGTGGCTGTACCACGCATCGACGGCCACGCAGGACGACCCGGCTTCGCACGAGGTCTCACCGGTCCAGCCAGATCTGCAGCGTCAAGTCGTCAGCTCGGTTCGGACCGTGGGAAGACCCTTCAACGAGGACAAGGGCTGGGAAAGACTCACCCGCCACATTGGGCGTTGAGGGGCGCCTGCGCAGCAACAACGTAAGCGCTCAGCGCGGAAATGGAGAAGAGAACGGCAGTCTTCATGCTGACGGTTTATTTTCCCACGCAGGTCTTAGTTGTGGTGATGGGAAGGGAAAACTCAAGATGCAATCTCGAGAAGAGTGAGAGGAAAGAAAAGAAAGGAAGCTGAAGATCTCGAGAAGATAGAGAAAGGAGAGAGAGGTGTTGCTGTGAAGAATAAGGCCCAACATCTGGAAGACTCGAGGTGCCCTGCATCTTATACCAGATCAATCTTCGACCCAAGGCTCAGCGAGCCGGACACGGCAAAGGTGAAGACGACAATGATGCTCTGCCCATGCGGCTGCGCGCCGTTGATGGCCCCCGTTCGAGATAGAGGACCGCCGCCAGGATGCCGTGGAACATGACCACCTTCGCTCAGAGGCAGAAGGCCTTCCTGCGGTCCCGAGTGCCATGCTGCGAGCGTGAAAGAAAAGGGCCAGGCCCATGAACATGGCCCACCAAACCGTGGCCAGGGAGGCCCACAGCCCACGCCGACGAGAGACGATGCGCCATGTGCGATGCCCGATAGACGAGAGACGTTGTCTAGACTGACCATGCCTACTATGGGCCGCACAACCCCACCATCATCTACCCGAAGGGCAGATCCCATTAAACAGCAACACGGCCATGCGTCGATCCAGATCCAGATGGCAACCCCTTCTTGCCCCCTCCCCGCCAGCCGCAGAGGCCATTGTATCGCCCACAGCCGCAATCAACCTCGATCTCGCGACCAGCGTTGACCCCGGTTCGTAGATCTCCACTCCATTTTCATGGCATCTGGGAGCTGAGAAGCCTTTGTGAATTGAGAGGTAACGCAGTGCAACGCAGCGCAGGGGTGGCACGGTGTCGTCCGAGATCCCGTCCTTGGAGCATAGCTCACCACACGACAAAACGTCTCAATGCAACGCCTCCCCCCACACACAAGCTCATCAACCTCCAACAACCAGCATCTGGCTAGCACCCCACACGGCCGACTCCCACGATCGCCCCCGGCGGCAGATTCATTGCCAGCCAGCCAGCCTTCTGTTTTTTCTCTTGAGGTCTCTTCGTCTCCCAAAGATGGAAAAGGGCAAGCAAGCCAGAGACTACGCACGCGGCAATCGACCCTGACTAGCGTGCCGTTTCATGATCCCAAGCTTTGTTGGGGGGGG